TATTTATAAATTACGTCAATGTTCATTACTCACGACGTACACCTTTAAACAGTGTTGTCGAAAAATCAACCTTGTTTACTTTGTAATTACTCTATAAAAGCAGGCAGGTAGTGTTTAGAATTAAAAAATTATCACGCGGTTAACATGCCAATTTGAATTTCTAGAATTTGGAATTTGAATTCTTATCTAAAAATGGACAAACATGGTAATTCTACAAAAGTATATTAAAATTAGAAAGAGTGAAGCACAAATTCCTACTTATTATATGTCTTGGCACGTCGCACAGTGATTCAGATTGTGTGGAGATGCGGTCTTTATTGCTTTTCTTTTTAATACCAGGTTTTATTTGCTTTCTAGTCTTTTAATTACTTTAGTAATTAAGTACTACTCTAGTTTATAGTATCTAGTAATTTAGTACTACTCTAGTCTTTTAATTAGTTTATGTGTCTAGCGCAATTATAATTAAAGGTTACTGTAGCATTTTTTTTATTATTTTCTGTTTTTGTTATAGTTTTTATTTTTTTGCTATCTTTTTCCAACTTGTATATTTTAAATGTGGCCATTAATTAACAAATAACCCTCATTTAAGCTCACTAAGAAAACAACTAATTAACGATTGCATTTTCCTTAGTAGGAAATGTAATAAGATAATAGGTTTTATCGAATAGAACTGCAAATTACCGCACCGCACCGCATCTAATCTTAATTACATGTCATTAAAACTACAAAGCGCGTAACAGAGGAGAAGCATTGTTTTGCTCTGATGTAATTCTTGTTTGCCGATTTACTAAATCGATAGCCCACTAAGTAATTAAGTTGCTCTTGTAAAAATATTTAAAATAATTATTATCGTAAAACATACCTCTATAACGGGCAAGAATGTTTATTGTGTTATGTCTTGTTTATGAAGTACAAATAAACGTTAAAGTCAGCGTTTCGTTGCAAGTGCAAAATAGTCGTTCGTTTTGAGTTGACTGTGATATTAAAAATGCAGTACTTTACCTTTAAAAGAATAGCAAAACTACTTAGAATAGTATTATTTGTTTACTCGTTTGTCTAAGATCACACTAAATAACATACATTTCTAACAATATGAAAATAGAGTTTTGCCTTTCCTGCGTCGGTCAGTCCATCACGACTATAATCCTATGTTCACCTTTCTAAGTTTAACCATACTTGAGCAGAAAAGGAAAAAATATGATATTACTTTGTATATAAAGTCCTTAACAGACTCCTAGATTCTCCAGAAATTTTGGAGAACTTCTACAGGATTGCTCCAATGTTTCATCTCAGATCGAGAGAACTGCTGCATATTCAGAAACATAGAACAACTTATGGATATCACATTAGGCTCAATTATGTTTTCTTTAATGCAAATACAGTAAATTCTCCCAAATTGTCTCTCAGCTTATACATAAAAATGGACAATTTAGGAATAGGAAGTACGATTATTCGAGCCTCGCGGCTCGTTTTTATAGTTGCCGATTGTCAACGACTATAAAAACGAACTATATAATCGTATCTCCTCTTCCCAAAATTTCCATTGTTGTGAACAATCTAAGCGTCAATTAGGGAGAGTTTACTGTACAATGCTGCGCCTTTCAGTTGCTCGAAATCGTCGAAATTTTCGAATTAGACGAAATTCGCACGCTTGTGACCAATTATGCAAAATTTGCTCGTTGATTCTTCATAATTTAGCTGACGTAAGTAGAAAACAGATATGTTACTTTCCTCGATTCACTATTATGTGCTATATCTTGAAAGTAATTATGAACATATTAACGTATTCGAAGATTGTTTTCCTTGTTCATAAATATTAGCAGCAAAATAATGTGAAATTACGTTCAAAAACAGCCTTTCGTTTCTCCTCGAAAACATATTGTTCCGAATTATGTCACTTCTGTGTTAAATGTCTGATGTATAGACTGCGGATTTTTATGCAAGATAAAAATTGTCTGGATCGATTGCAAGATACAGGAGTCCGACAACAAATTGTTCATTTTTGTTTACAAGCTGAGGGACAATTGGAGAGAATTTACTGTACTGTGCACACATCCATCGATATTTCCAATCATCTACTGCACCGTTTCAAGCAGAATTTAAACCATATTATTTGATATAATTTCGCAACGTTGTTAAAGTTCGTACAGATTTATCATATTAATTTAAGGAATTACTTGTTTTTTATTCAATCTTGTATCGATGCATTCTAAACCTCCGTATTTTCTAGCTTTCCTTTTATCTTATAACTCGCCACAGAAATTCAATAAATAAACAAATCAATAAAACTGGAAATTAACACAAAGGTTCCCCGATTAATTCTGTTGGAAGTAGTTTTCTGGAAGACTGGTTGAAAGCGATTCGAGGAAAGTTCGGCGTGGATAAAAATTAAGCATCGTCTCTCCGACCTCGGTCTTTTCCGGGGTTAATTTCCACGGACAGTGTTCCGAGCGTTCCTCGTGCCTGTTCCCATGCAGTCCCGGTGCTGTTCGCGGATCGATCGCAGTGCCCCGGTATCTTCGATCGGTCCGGCGATGACGACGATTGTCTCCGGGATGGCAACGACGTTAACGGTAATGATAGCAATGACGATGATGGCGGTGGGTAGCGTGTCGGGCTGTTGCGGTGGGTACATATCGTGCGGCAATGGGGTGCGACGGGGTTAGTCGCCGACGAGCGGATGGGAGCGGGTAGAATCAGGGTGAATGGGATCAGTTAAGCGTGTTGCACAATTATTCGTGTCCGGTCGCGCGTGTAATGGTCTGCATCGGTGCTGCGGCTGTTGTGCGGCGAGAGCCGAGTGGAGCGGAGCGTAGAACAGCCAGGTTGCTTGGTTCGATGATGGAAAGCAGGCTAGGCTGGCTCGAGGCTGGCTAGCCTGTGCCGCAGTTAGTCTGGAAACGTCCTTTCCGGTCTCCCGTCGCCATTATTTCGCAGGATCGAGACGAATTTCGCGATACTGAACTTTCCGTGCTATCCCCCCCCCCCCCCCCCCCCCCCCCCCCCCCCCCCCCCCCCCCCCCCCCCCCCCT